CAATTGCAACTTTTCTGAGGACGCAAGTCGCACCAACCAAAGGAAGGGAGGAGGGTGCTATAACTTTCTTTGTACACAGAATTGGGAAGAGGGCAGTTTTCTATTTCTGTATCCAGAGAATATAATACACCCTGTTACAGAGCACTAATTTCTTTATATCATGTTTTGATGTTGGGTTGTAAGTTTGTTGGACAACCTAAAAAGCCATCACCCTAAAGAATGTGGTGGGGGGGGGTTGTTTTTGTTTGTTTGTATTTTAAATATGAAGAAATGCTTCAATATTTTCCTTGTAAGTGTGAATAATAAACACCCTGTCCCCATGATCCTTTCTGTATTATATGCTGCAACATGACAGGTCAGTTCTTTGATGTGCCTGTAAACAGCATGGCTTTCTGACTTGGCATGAGGCACAGGGAGGTTTTTTGAGTGTATAAGGGAAGAAGTCTGATGTCAAGTTTGCCTATGGATTATACTAGTTATTTAAACATTAAAGAATAAATCTTGCCTTTCTGCACTCCTTACAAGCACTTGCTGTGCTTATAGTACAGGTTGGAGGCATTTCAGGAACTGTTTTTCTAGGTGCCATACATTATGCTGTGGAAGTTAATGCTATGGGGGAACTCTGTGCAGTGCCGCCTGTGTAATAATGACTTGCAACAGAGAAAATAAATACCCTGCTACACAGATAAACCAAATATTGTACCCACCACCCAACTCAAGTATAGCAGGAATGTGCAAGTCTCAGAGACAACTCCAGCACTACACATGGAGTGAGAGCTGAAGAACAGACCAGCTGTTTTGTGGCTTAAAAAATAATCTTAAGTGACCATCTGCCCATGGCTACATTTTTTGGAGTAAACCAGAGTTCACAGACGGTGAGGATAACTTTTATGGAATCTGTTCCCTTTAATGCATAGTGCAGTGGAGCTCAATAAAGAGTGTTACGTATATACGTCTCCCCTGGAGCAAGGTGCAAGCTACCTAAAGGCTGCCACTGCATCACTTGTGCCTGCTGTGCATTGCAGTATAACTAGCTCCCCCTCTTACTCCTCTCCCACACATCAACAAATTGTAGGTTAGAATCTGGCAGTGGCTTGCGTGGTGATCCGAAGTACTTTGGACTTCAAGCCTGTGTCCAGGCAGGCATGGACATGGGGTAAATGGCACTACCTATCTGTGGCACAGCACTGCAAATGCAGGGAGTCCCCAGCTGCTACCTTGCAGTGCAGGGGTGGGGGTCTAGCCCTGGGAGATCCCTGGGTCACAAAGAAACCATGCCGAAGAAAGCAGGGCGGTGCACATGGTGGCAACGTGCGCAGCCCAAAACTGGAGCCTGGCCAGCTGGAGCCATGTTCCAGCTCCTGCCCAGGATTCCTGCCATGGCTGGAGCCCAGGGGGACCCCCAGGACCACAGGTAAAGCTGCTGGGGCCAGTACAGTTCCTGGCCCCAACCTCTCCTACTCCACCCTGAGTAACCTGCCACATGTTAGAGTATGTGTGGCATGGGTGTTCTGGGCAAGCAAATGTCCACTCATCTGGACATGCCTTAAAGGATAAACTGCATAAAGTTTACCTGTAGCTACAGTCCTCACTGTTTGCAGAAAGGGCTTGTTTTCAATGCAAGTTTGTGGAGATGATGAACACAGAATGTTTTGTTTCTTTATTTAGAAACAAATGGACTGAGACACTTTTATTGTCCTACTTCCTCCACCATTGCAAACCATTGTACGGGTTTGTGTGCATCTGTCTCCTTTCTCAGTGTCGTGGAAGAGGGCCAACGTGGTTCCCATCTTCAAAAAAGGGAGGAAGGAGGACCCGGGAAACTATAGGCCAGTTAGTCTTACCTCGATCCTAGGCAAGCTGTTTGAGAAAATTATTCTGGCACACATCCATGAGGGGCCAGCAGGGGACTGCATGCTTAGGGGCAACCAACATGGGTTCATCAGTGGCAGGTCCTGTCAAACCAACCTGGTGGCCTTTTATGATCAGATCACCAGATCATTAGATGCAGGGG